GTACAACAAACTATTAAGGAAAATTGAGAGAATTAGCAAAGTACACAAGGGTAGTTCCAAGAATGGATAATGGGGAAAATGGACATGGAAGTAAAGATGTGAAAGGAACTGGAATGAACCTAGAAAAGAATATATGAAAGTAGAACTGCAGGAACAGAAAATACAGAACACGTATGAGAAAGTATAAGAAAAAAGATTAATCTCCCAACAGAATGAATAGAAAGTGAACACAAGGAAAGAAGATGTGAAAGCTGTTTGGAATGTAAAAAGAATTACGTTACAGAGTGCTCTAGAAGTATATGATGTTGCACTAATGAAAAATATTCTTATTTGTCATGTTTACCCTCTAGTTCCATTAGAAGTCCCCTTGCAAGTATCAACAGTAAAATAAGGAGCTTTCCTTTAGTATATCAAATAAGTGATAAATCATACAATACTGGAGGATAAGGTGCACACAGAATCATTGTACTTCCTGTGCCTTGTTTGCAGAGTCTTGCAGTATAATTCCCTTTATCTAAAAAATTTTATACCTAATTTGCACCAAGGCTCAGGGTTGTATTCTCATCCACAAACAAGGATATAGCAATCTGTACCATTCTTATTGTAGCTGATCCTTATTCAATCAAATCTGCTGTAGACAAAGCAAAGAAAAATATGCTACTCATAAGCCAGTTTTAGAGAGAGCCAGTAAATTACATGAAGAGAAGGACTATTTTGTTGGTAAAGGCAAGCAACATTTTCATTTTTAATTACTACTGCTTTCTGTTTTTGCCACAAAGTTCCTTACTTGCCCCAGCTACCAGGCCTTGTATCCTTTTAACATTTCAGCCATTTTCCTTTTCAGTTTGCCCTTCAGTTGGATCACTGTATTCCGGAGCTCTTGCAGCAATAGAAGGGTCTGCATGCTGGCTGGACCAAAAGAAAACAGAATGAAAACTGCTTACTGAATTGCACATTAAGTGGGCTCTGCTCACAACCCCGCAGTCTCTCTTTCCCAGAAATGGCATAAAGCATTAGTTCTCCAGTTAGTCATCCTCGATGAAGAGTAATTCAAATGTTCAATTTTGAATGGTAATGCGACTGAGCCTGAAACTGTTCGTGACTATTTCAAAATACCGTTATTGTAATATGAATGAAATATTTTGCTATTTGAAGGCTCTAGGTGGCCAGCCTAGAGATCTCTTGCCAGCATATATGAGATTTTGCAACCTGCTAAGAAAGCATTTTGTATTATGCACAAAATAATCCCTGCATAATACTTTCTCATACCACGTTAATTCTGCTGGCAGGTTAGCAGAATTAAGGAAATAGGCCAGTGCTGGAAGCAGCTCTGTGAATGGATCCATGAGACTGCTTTTCACACACTGTAAGATATTTTCTCAACAGTCGCCCTGTGGCAAGCGCCCTGCGGAAATAGGTCAGGTGAAAGAACCAGCATGACAGTAATGTATACCCTAGAATTTCTGTGACGTACTTCATCAAGTGAACATTTTCCCCTGGCCTTCTAGGCATATTGACTTTTGGATAGCAATTTCTGTCCAATGATTTGCTTCCCCTTTACAGTAGTAGCCTGAATTGGTAAACAAGTGGAATGGGGCTTTTTGTTCAGATGTAATAGAATTCTATCAAAAGGCATTTCAGTACAACAAACTTCACTCTGAGATGAAACAGCATTATTCAGGCACCAGACCTATTTAAAGATAGTGTTCCAAGGTCTATGAAAAAGTTGTAAAGTTGGAGGATCATAATTAAGTGATCCTTAATCACTTAATAATTAAGTTCACCATGAAATTCAGTTTATGTTACATTTTTAATGTCTAGGAGT